GCTATAAGTACTGCTCAAGCTGGGCATTGCTCTGGGCCCATGGGCTGAAGCTGCACTGGTCGATTTGATTCCAATGAACAGTCGGAAGCGCACCACCAGATTGGCTGGCTTGTTCAGAGCCTAGAAATCGCGCGTAGACAAACGGTGCCAGTTTGTCAGTGCAGTTTACGTCCCTACAAACTGTAGCGCTGATTCGATGCGGGATGAATTCTATCACTAACTAAACTAACCCTTTCGTTACAGAAAATCTAAGGACACTGTAGTGCTGGCTGGCGATCTGAACGCCCAAGTTGGAAAACTGTCCACTGATGAGCTGCATCTGAGCGGCCGACCCGCTGTAGGCTCCCGTAATGATAATGGTGAGCGGTTGCTATACCTGGGTGGGGATGTCCGTCTCTTTCCCGCGAGCACGAACTTCCGACAGCAGCAGCAGAAGGGTGACATGACGCTTGCCCGCCCGCCCGCCTCAAACCAGCCATGGACACAAATCGACCGGATCGCGATCAGTTAGCGCTGGAGTGGCTGTGTCCAAAACGGTCGCTCAATTTGGAGCAAGAACAGGGCCTCTGGTTACGTAATCGTTTGGGCCGATCTTACAGTTCGCTTCGGTGGACGCATGCGGCGACGCTGTAAGCGCATAGACACACGCTAGCTGGCGAAGCCAGATGTTCTGGGTGCGCATCAAAGTAGTCTGGCGTCCGCTCTGAGTAAGCGCTCTCTGAGCACAGCAGAGGGCCACTGGTCGCATATTCATCAGACGTTATTAGCAACGGACATCTTCATGTGGCAAAGCAAATTACCGACCTGAACATAGGGTCTCGGTGCAGTCGCCGGAACTTTTGGATGCTCGCCGACACATTCCGGCTGAGAATGAACACAACGAGACTCGCAAAGACCTCATGGTGAAACTTCATGCTAGCGTCAAGGATATCAGCAGTACACCGGGAGGCAAAACCAACGCTTCGCTGCCACAAAATTGCCACCAGCCGCACGTGAGCTAAGGGTACAGCGAGGATCGTCTTGTCTCTACGTAGGCTGGAACCAGCATCATCATCATCAACAGCAGTAAATCAGACATTTGAACTGATGCTTCGCTGCCATACAACCATAGGGACTTTGAAATAAAGAATAAGAAGAGGGAGAGTAGGAAGAATTACCTGAAAACCTAAATGCCCTAGGCAAATATTCAAGGTCAAGTCGCCTACACCTTGTGTAGACAACATACCGTCACTGGCTATCGTGCAAAATAAGGCGGCATCGGCGAGACAGCTTTCTTGCGGCTTTCACTGCCACGCATCATAATCAGTCATTACATCGCAGATAACTCAGAACCAAACACACTTTAAACAAGCAACCCGATTAGGAGACTGCAGCAGACGCGCCAATGGTGTCTAATGCGAACCATGTCCTGTAAAGTCTCGAGCCAAACACGAGTCACGTGGACTCCAGCCCGGAAGGCGAGACGGACCAACGGTACCCAGTTTGGTCATCAATGACTTCATTTCCCGCTGCCAAGTCAACTTCTGTCCACCTCGAGCCATGCGCCACCCTTCATCTGGTAGAGTGAACAAGGCCCTCCTAGATAAGCGGTGACCAGACATACGTAGCACGTGCCCGAGCTAACGCAACTTATTCAGTGTTATTTCTTGTTCCAGGAATACAGCATGATTATCACTATCTAGTATCGCTAAGGACATGATCGTTGCGGACACGCTGGTGCCATCCGACAACAGCAATACTTCGCAGACAACGATGATCAAAGAGTTGAAGGCGCCTCAGATCTTCAGACCAAAGGGGCCAAGTCGCACTACCATAGAGCAGAATGGCTCTCACTGGCCTTGTATACACGGCCTTTCAGGCGAAGAGAAATTCCCTTTTGTCGCCAAAGATACCGCAGGTTCAAGAAGGCAGCTCTAGCCTTTACAATGCGTGAGCTGACGTCAGTTTCTGTGCGCCCATCGTTGCTGATGCTGCTGCCAAGATAAGTGAATTGATCAACCACCTCGAGTTCCTCGTTAGCAAGCGTCAAGGGGTCATCAAGTGGCTGGTGGTCCTGCAGCAACACTCTGCACTTTGAAGGTGCGAAGTGCATACCAAATAATGGGACCACACTGGACAGGCTATTCAGGATTGATTGTGCCGTCGCAATATGGTCGAAAAGCAAGACGATATCGTCCGCATAATCTAGATCAACTAACCTTTCACCAGGCAGCACTTCAACGTCTACATCGTGAGATTCCGCAAAGAAACACTTCATGATAGAATCCACGACAAAGCTGAACAAAAATGGGGAAATCGGACAACCCTGACGAACGCCACTTGTGGTCGGAAACCTATCCGATAGGCCACCGTAGACCGTGACGCGACCTGGAACCCGCGCCCTCGGACTACAAGGTAGGTTCGTGATCCTTAAGGCTACAGGCTGGCGCGTGTTAGCATCAAAAGAGATTGCGAAGACTGTGGTGTCATTAAGCATCGAATATAAAAATCTCGGCTGCCCTTGATAACACTCGGAACTTATTCCGTCTGATACACGAAAAGAGTAGAAAGAGCTCTGGTGTTGGCGAGAGAATACGTGACGGTGGTGGATGGCCAATCCATAGTTTGTCAAAACGTTTGGAGCGTTGGGCAGAACATTTTAAAAAGCAGCTTAATCAACTGGCCATTGATCACCATTCGCTCTGGGCCCTCTGGATCCGCCTACACGCGCAAAAGTCGAACACGTGATCAGACTGTTGAAAGTGAATAAGCCGGTAGCAGCGAATAGAAATTCTCCAGCTCGCTAGAAATTCGGGTGGGGGATCTGCTCTCGCAGATGACCCGCACAACTTACTTCTGAAACTGTCCCAGCAGACCGGAGCCCCTACGTAGTAGTCACAATTTTCAAACGGTCTCAAATTCCGAATGCGGCAATCATAGAGGGATCAGTCCGACCTGAAGTGCCTCTAAAATACTCGCCTATGCCGCTTTTCATAGTTACTGGCACAGGTGAAGGCCAGATTCATGAGGAACAAGTCGGGTTTCGTCGAAGTCGAGGCTGTAGTGATCACATCGTCGCATTACGTCAATTGTTGGAGCACCGCCATATTAATCTGCGAGCCACCGTAGTGTTCCCAGACATCAAAGGTGCTTTGGATTCGACTGATCGACTTGCCCTTTAGGACCGCCTATCTATGAAAGGTGTGCGAAAAATATGTAACCATTAGTAGAGCGCTTGGTTCACATAGTCCGGGCAGAGTGAAGGTCTACGGCAAACAGACGCTGCCCCCAACATCTCCAGCGGAGTGATACAAGGACGCCCGCTATAAACTTTCTTTCTTACCTTCTCCATTGACGAAGTCATAGATGCTGAGTTCATTGGACACGATCTGCAAGGCATAGAGCTGCCCCCAGGTGATCAACTTCTTGACTTGCAGTACGCTGACGGCATTGCTCGCATCTGTATTAGCTTTCAAAGGTGGTAAGTAGCAATGGACAAATCAGCATTGGCTATCAGTCGTTTCGGGCAATGCTTAGTACTTCCGAAATGCAATTGTTCTCCAGCGACCCACCCCTGTGTCGACCCTTGGTGGTGACCAGTTAGAAGTCGTCGGGAAATTAAAGTACCTAGGCAGCTATATCAGCGCCAGTGGAATGGAAGATGAGATCACGGGCCGCATAGCAAAAGCTCGAGACGCTTTGTCAAACTTCCACCACCTGTGGCGCCGGCACCACATCACTCTCGCCATGAAGGGCAGGGTTTACAGTGCAGCCGTCCGTTCGACGCCCCCTGTACAGTTGTAAAGCCTGGTCCATCAAGTCGACAGACATAAAGACGGAAGTTACGTTCGATCATCGCTGCCTTCGCAGCTGAGTTTGTGTTCAGTGGAAGCAGCGCGTGAGCAATGCGCGTGTTGGGCGTCATGTAGTTGGTGCAGAAAGAGTGAGTGAACCGTCCAGCACCGTCAATTCACGCAGGCCAACCCAACAACCCCCGTGATGTGCGTTGTCAGTGCGCCAGGACCGTGCATAGAAGGAGAGGAGACTAAGCGGCGACTTAGTTAAGCGGAATGAAGCCTCTTACATCGAAGTTGGCGTCGATTGGTGTGTCCCGAATGCTGGGCTGAGATCCGAAGGACTATGAACACGGCTGCTTGGATATACAGGTTGCTATGGCAATGAGCCGACGTCAATGGCGTTTGTGTTGTTAGTTTCTTTGTCCCTCTCCATCTTGGTTATCTTAGCTATTCAACCATGACCTACCTTGAAACATAGGTTATTAAGCAGTGTTAGCTGTCTATTAAGTTTTATGTTTAACATCTTTTCGTATATCTTTAGAAATTGCGGCACGAAACTTGAAGTGCGTATCTCACCTTCAGCTGATGTGTAGTGAGGAAACTGAAATACCTTCTACCTCTTTTCTAGTATCCTAGTGGACAGAAAAGGATATGGCCAAATTAGATGACATATTCTATAGTTTTAAAGTTGTCTTTGCTTTTATCACGATACAACTACTCAGCATTCCCCGTTCCAATGGAAAATACATGGTTCGGTCAATATTCAGACCTTGTTGTTCGAATCCATTGACGTGTGGAAACTTGAACAAGCCCGCAAACGATGGAAGTGTAGATGTTTACACCAAACGTTTTGGAACATCCGTTTAGTGAAGCATGATAATCTATATGACTTCGCCTAACAACTAGCTCATCCGCAAGACAATGGACACATGTGTGAAAACTTGATCACGGCAGAAAACGATGTCTCATGAAACAGAAACCACACAATATCATCACCATATCAGAATTGTTACTGTTCTTATTGGCACACGTGATAGTATTAGCAGCTGCATGAAAATAGGGAAATGATCAGACTAATCGACGAAAAGTGCTGAAGGGACAGTGTGTGATCATGCAAGACATCTGAAGAAAGTATCGCAAACAAGAGATAAAGTATTTTACGTAAAAATTCGAACGCTAGAAATGGTCAACATGAGTGTGTTGTAAATAAGCTGAAAGGCTTACTTGCAACTGCAGCAATTGGGCCTCGGAAGTAGACAATGGTCTCTCACGTAAGTGTAAGGGGTCCTCTTTTGAAGATTTACCATCATGCAACTCGGAACTTAGTGATGTGTGATCCTTAGTTTGAGCAACTTGTCCCAATTCGCCTGAAGTCAAAATTTTGGAGGATGCTACGGTCCTGTTAACAGCATCAATGACAGAACAAGCTACAAGAATTAGTTAATACGATTCATTACCATCTTTGACAACGCTCGGGTTCTCTGGATCGTTAAAGACATTCTGTAAGGCTTGGATGACTTGATTCGGAAACACAGTGCCACGCTGCCACAAGTGTAGTACACGCTGAACCATCGGCTTATCCTTTTCATCACACTGAGTAATTGAAAGAAAAACGGTCACAATGTTACGCATGAAGCGTGGACCGTAAACATCTTTCTCATGGTAAAAAGACTGAGACTGTCGGACGATGGCATCGATCACATAAAGACCGGGAACTTTCAGTTCAGGTGGGCACCGGATGATAAACTTTTCAACGCTCTGAACCACGTGCTTGTAAAATTTCAAAGCCTTGAATGCAGCACGTGTAATAGATGCCATCTTTTTACGAGATACGGGAAGAGGAGTCTCTCTTAAGGAGTTCAGCTAAGGAGAAATGGTAAAATGTGGTTCGACTGTACCTCAACATTAAAGGCGCTCACATTTTCCATCGCTTAACAATGCATGAGCAACGTTAGGCAAAAGCAGCGAGTGACAAAGTATACGTAAATGGACAAGGAAATTCACGATCGCCAAGCACAGTGCACCCTAGTGCGCCAAAAGGTCTAGAAACTGCGAATAGCACCAATGCACGTGAACGTCGGTAAACTGTGAAGTTGTAAGCAACAAAAAGAAACCTATCGCTAAGTGGTGTACAATTTACAAACATGTATCACGCATGCAAAGTGCACACAGACGTATAGGTACTCCACATCCTAAACTTAATATATCTACTGATAAAACCAATTTCATTAAGGATTTGGTAAACAACTAGATCAATTTCCATAAGGTTCTTTATTTATTTTCTTAAAACAACGTTCGGAAATACATGATAAAGATTTCCGGTTCGTACTAATTTTGATGTTTTATCATTTGATTTTCCTTCAACCAGCAAATAAAACAGTTTCTTTCTAAGTTTTTCCAGTGTGCTAATATTAATGTGCTGATCTAGCAGAAACCGTAAAACGCTGACATATATATGTAGACCTAAATGCACATCAGTCTCAGCAAAGGAGGTTATGCCAACGGCGGTCGCAATACCGCATTATGACTCGCTCCCATTTGCGTGACGCACTGTTTCGAAAAAGCCGCATTCTTGCATCTGTCACGGTTTGACTCAAGTATACAGCAGGTAGTCAGGTTTTACGTTTTCTACCTAATAACTTTTTGTTGGCTAAATATATGGCTTCAACCAGGAGGGGCTAGCAACCGCTACAGTCTCCGTCTGAACGCTAGGAAGCTTTTCCTTTGAGACTGGAACTATAAGAGAACCCCATGTGCCCCCTCTTGAACTGATCATGAAGCCAGAAGATCTCAAGATGTTCTGCTTTTGTCTGCCCAAAACAAGACAGCCTTCCTAACCGCTGAGGTGCATGTACCCCTGGTGGCCTCGTTTGATGTGTCTAGTGCGGCTTGTGGAAAAGCTACCTTTGCAAAGCCAGTCGCGGCTTCACCTGGTATGCAGTGTGACGTGTGCTGCCGCTGGTAGCACGATAGTTGTACCGGCCCCGAGCGGACCACCAAAATATGTTGTCATTCAATGAGAACTTACTTTCCAGCTGTGATGCATGCTGCGCTAAGAGATGTATTCCCTCGGCTTTCCCAGGTTTTAAAATTACAGCATTGACATCAGGGCGGGTGGTTGCATAGAAAGCATAGATAGTCGGTCAGCAAGCGTCACGGTAATAGGTTAACAGGTCAGAGGTGGATGAGTTTTGCTGCCTGTTATCGTTTCCCATTTATTCCTCTTCAGCAGACTTCCTTCCCTCTTCTGTGCTTCCTTAGCTGCTTCCCATACCTCGGTTTTTACTACGCGGTTGGGCATCCAGCCATCTGCCAGGTAGTTACCTTGTGTTGCTGCTCTAAGGGTCTAGTACAACCCGTCGTACTAGTTGGACAAGGAAGAGCTTGGAACGCCGGTCAGGAGGAATACTACAGGTACGTTGAGCTTGCCTCCCTTGACCCATGCAACACCAAGGTGTAGTTGCCTCTGAGGTCCTTGAATGTTTCCGTCGGGGACTCTGCTGTCGGTCCTTCTGCTGATATCTGTCTAGCCGGACGCCTTGGTTCACTTGGTCGTAACCAACTCAGACGCCTCTAATGGTACTGTGGACTCTCCACAACTTGAATCCAAGTCACGGTCCACTGGGCCAAAAAGAACAAACAACGTTGCAAGGAAAGCCCGTAAATCCTCCGCCCCCAAGCCGGGAGGTGAGCAAAGGCCCAACGGCCTAAGCCTGAGCTGAAAGCACCGACTCCCTCTGAAGTGCCCTCAGTGAGAAGTGGGACTTCCTCACCATTTGTCACCCCGGTTACTATCAAACAGCCTTGCGGTGTGGACGGTATAGCAGGTAGAGGGTACACATGCATTCGGGTTGGATCCATGATGGACGTAAGCCCCTTACCATCGGGATGGTCTACAAGGCGCGTCAATTTACGACAACCGCCTTCTAGGTTCGGACAAAACTAGTGTGTGGCACAGACTACTTAAGCTTGGGTGATTTTAATGCGCCTCGTATAGCCTGGGATTTCCATTGCGGGCTCTCTGCAGTTTCATGTACTGCCAGTTTTCTTAGAGCAGTCTTTGATGCCAACCTATCTCAGCACGTCTCATCGCCCATCAGAATCCTCCAGCGCAAAACACCACACAAGCCTAGTTTCGTACTCTTACCGGAAACATTTGGAAACACTATATTGGTCACTACTGCACCGATTGGTCATAGTGTTCACTATACGCTTCTCTTTACCTGGCCGCGCCAATTATTCAGTCAAGACCAAAGGGTTCATCACCAAAAGTTCTGGCGTACCAATCCTATATGCATAAAAAGGTGGATAAAATGCCAGAATTGAATATCCCACATAAACTTGAGCTTGCGGCTGCTCGGACATTAGTATGACGTAAACTGAACCAAAACATTGAGCAAGTGGTTCCAACCTCCAGAAAATGACATCACCAGAGCGGTCCCGTTAGATTGTTTGGGAAAGGCGGCTTTTAATGTATCAGTGGAAGCAACTAGGGGACGGTTTTAAATGTACTTAAGTGGCACGACACTATACCAACTAAGCAAGGCTCAGGACTCTAGGTACTATGAAGAGGTGGGAGAAGGGACAACAATGTGAGTGGTGTCCAGTAGAGCAATCTGTGTTCAGCCCTAAACAACTTTTCGCTTACATAAACAAAGGCACCAAAGCCGGCTGCGGCATAAACATTTTGTTATCCATTATAACCGATTCAGTTATATACGAAGACGGCGTGAAAGTGGATGGGTTAGCTGGGACCTACCCGATTACCGACTCAAAGACGCACCGATCAACTACCTCGATGTCCCTGATCTCAAACGTCTTAAAAACACGGAATTCAAACATGCTACCCGAGCTCGATCACAACCATACATCTGGCCCTGACGGGATGTGTAAAGTCCAGAGAGGAGGTAGAATACTCAGCCAAACTGGTTCAACCATTGCGGACATGATATCGCTTTTCCCAAAAGGTTCACCTATACCCTTATCGATATTTATCCAAGTTTGCTACTGCCAGTTGCAGTAAGAAACAAGGTGCCTTTTCACTTGGCGTTGTTGGCATATCCTTGACTCCACAATCTCAAACCTTTCATCCTTCACAACCTGCCGAGTACCAACCGGCTACGCTGTAACGCTTAGCCACGCTGCTGCACCTATTGCTGTTCTGACCATTCCTATTATGGTTGCAAACCTATTCGTAAGTTGAGTACTGTATACAATTTGTATTATGGAGCCATGGTAACAGGAATTTGCGTTTTAATTTAGACAGTACATATAGTATAGGCTTACTAGCCTACAGCTTCTTGCTCATCTCGTGCGAAAACCTAATCAAGGCTTCGTATAGACTACATAGTTGAATAGTGCAATAATGCCTGTTTCTGAGTTTGATGTTAAGGACTGCTGCGATGCTGTTGTTATTACTGATGTTGAGAAATGGCAAAATGCTGGGAACAGGATTAGAATACTGGAGTTCGCCCTGAATGAGACGCCACTGCAGACTAAGAAGTAAAAGGCTGTTGGTTGCTTTGGGAACGATGTTACGTCTGATCAGCCTCTGTGTAACCGGATAGCTTCTTTGTCTTACGTGGTTGGTGGCCTTCTGATGTTGCTCTAGACTACATTCACCTAAACCGATAACTTACGCTCGGCGTATGATGTTGTTGGCACGTTTGAATGATCCAATGGCAGTCTCAGTTTCGGAGGTTCTAGATCACAACGCAGAACTCCAGTTGGATTCACGTGCTGCTACAACTGTTTGCTTGAACCCAACACCAATTAGTTCAATCAGAAAACGACCTCCTCGCTCCCTAAGCGAGAACTGTTCATATTTGATGGTGTTTCAGATCGATATTGGATATTGTGCGATGCTTTGAAGCCAAGATGACCCGAACGACTTCCGACCCGACGATCCGACTTACATAAGTGATACAATACTGCTGTGGTGAGCCCAAATAAGCTCAGGGAATCTGTTTGCACCACGGACTTGGTTAAAGTTTCAAAGAAGAACTGATTATTAATTTTGCAAGCGCTTCGGATGACCTCACACGGTAGCTAGGACAAGGATCAATGCCTTAAGCGATAGCCATGACATCATGCCCAATGATTTTGCAGCCCCCTCTCGTTTGCTATTGAACTGCGGTCCTGTTACTCAGCTCGGAAGCAGTGGCAATACAAAGCTGAGCTGAGCGTGTCGCGAAGACGTAGCGATATAGTTAGACGACTACCAAACCATTTGCAATTCTAGTGGGCCGAACATGCCGCCAGGGTCATCCGACACGAACACGACTACATATCTGATTAGTGACATGCCACTATTCTTAAGTATTTTCCACCCGTTTCCTTATACTTCACTCACTGACCTACATCGCTTATGGGACCTCATCGGACTAGTCCCTCATCAACATACCATATAAGTGATCTGATTACTATCTCTACCTCTCGCATTCTGTGTACATAGACTTCATACAACCTTTGGGCCCTATGGGCCCACACTACTGTCTCCAACTGTACTACTCCCACTGTTGGTGCTGCTTATTCTGCTATCATGTACAATAATGCAATATGCTGATCATGCCCAAAAGGCGTGTCTCGCTTTGTCGAGAATAAAATATTTATTTATTTGTTTGATTCGATGGAGTTCCTGGATGAAGCAGCCCACGTTGTCGATCCTTATCTGTCTTTTATCGCACGCACCCGCGGATCAAATGCCAACACGGATAGAAGTTGCGGCATAAATGCAGAGCTGTTGTTGCTTACTCGAACGCTGTAACATCCATAGAACGGACTCAAGTGAAATGCATTTCCCGTAAACAGTATTATTATTTAGACTTATGTGATGAATTCCGAAAACTTAACTGTCACCCGCGCCTAGAGTGCTGTTGTTTACGCCGTCCGTGCCATCTTTGTCTCAAACCGCATCATGACTTACAAAGCTGCCGGTCAAGCAATTATTGCGAATTAAGTAACTGTTGGCTACGTCACCACTAATTGCTGTATGCTAATCGGGGAAAGAAGAACCCAAAACACTGAATATCGAATGAGTAAGTTTCGCTCTAAGTTCTGCCTAATACCCTG